CACACACACACACACACACACACACACACACACACAGTCAAGCACCTGCTTTCCACCTGGATAAAGTTACTCAGGGAAACATATGCTGCTTACTTATTGTTTTTCATTCACACTAAATTACATCAAAGCTCTTGTATCAGATGTTCCACATTTCAGTTCATCACACTGTGTCCTACAAAGGTTCCCAGATGTTCTTTTTAACTCTATTGAAGGTCTTCCCTTTTCTTTCTGCAACACAGTGAAATGGAGCTGAATGGGCCGTCCACAGCTTTCCTGAAAGCAGTTTTTTCAAGCTCTGAAAACAGCAGGACTACAGTTTTTTGGCAAGTGACCTCTTGTGGTTGCAAAGAAGAAGTAGAATGATGTCACTATCTGATTACAACCTCGATGAAGACGTCAACAAAACAAGTGATTTTATCTCCACTATTTTCTTTCCTTACATTAAACATGTTTTCTTCAAAGTCCTTGAAGCAAGTTTTACATTTGCAAACTATCTGTAAACACCTTTAAAGCTAAATCTGCTCAAACACATTTAAGTATTGAAATTTCTTGTCATTTGCCGACAATCTTGTTCCTTTTATTTTTCAATACAAAAACAAACAATGCTAATTCTATGAAAACTGAGGAATAAAAAACATGCTATCAAACTTTTCACAATCATATTAAATCATTTGTTTGGCTCTGCACTTTCAAAATTAATCAAATATAATTTCATAATATTTCACAATAAGTTTTGAAACATTAACTAAATTAACCTAAATGAATTTAATGTCACTGGTTGTAAACTGTGACAGACTGGAGAACTCTTCTGGGTATACCAGACTTGCCCTTTGTAAGCTGGGATAGTGTTTCACTGTGTTGACAGGCTTTTGTTCTATTGTCTGTCACAATGAACCCACAGAGCTTCAGTTATGTTGAGGCTCTGGACAGGCCAATCCACGACCAATAGTTTTCCATTGTGGATTTTTCCTGTTATGGTTTTAACACATTGGCAGTTTCTTTGGGATTCTTGTCATAGTGAAAAGTCGGTGCCATGTGGAAAGATGTTTTCAGATGGTTTTATATGGTTGATCAAAATCTGACAGTATTTTTTTGCTTTCAAAATTCCATCAATTTTAATAAGATCATGAGCACCACTTCAGCCGGTTTCCTTTCCTTAAGAATGTAAGCCACCTTTCTATTGAGGCCGTTTCTCAGTGAGTCTGTCACCTTCATGCCAAACTTTATTGCTTCATTAGGAAATATAGTCAGGTTGCCTTAGTTGTGGTATACCAGTAATCAGAAATACCATTATTACTTTAGTATTATTTAAACACAAAGTCAGGGCTGACCCAGGACCAGTGCTGTGAGTCACACTGCGCCGCAGAAGTGCTGTCGCTCCTCCATCTCCAAAACCTTCCAGGACCTGATGCTCAGCAAAGTGTCCTCCGGCAGCCAAACCCATCTGTTCTCTGATTGGATTGTTAAATTTGTGATAGACATGACATTAACCAATCAGCTGAAAGGAAGAAAATCCTGCAGTCTGAAGTGCAAAATATTTACGACCACAATGTGATTCCATAGTGTTACTACTGTTCATAAAAACAGCTAAATGTCATACAAATTCTTTCCTAGCTGCCCCAAGTGATTAACCAAAAGGTTTATTTCAGACCATTCCACATAAAAACAAGAGTAAAGAATGTAACACAATTTCGGTTTAGTGACCTGTAACGGGGGAAGAACATCAATGAATGCTACAGTTACATGTTTGTATGAAATGAATGATTTACTCTTTACATTATGGAATCAAGGACGCTTTGTAAGTGATTTACTCCACATTTACAAATAATCTATAACAGGTCAGGAACAAGCACCTTTTTCCTGCTGCACTTGTTAGTCCAGACAAGTAAATGACAGCTACAAACTTCAGGGACACACATGAAGTTTTTAGCTGCCATTTATTTGCATTTCAGGGGCTTTCCTGGAAGGTCTCACACACTTGACACAAAACCCAAGTGGCTGATGAGCACAGTTTAAAAATGTTCTTTGACTTTAGATCAATTATACATTTAATATAATTTGCTCAAAAATGTAAAATGATCTTGATCATTTTGTACCCTTAATTGGTAAATATATCAACAAACAAGTCAGATACTTATCATTTACTGCTGACTTGTTAAACAGTTTAATTCTTATTTAATTTATTCTTATTTCCATAGCGCCCAATCACAACAAAAGTCCCATCAAGGTACATTATACTGTAACGTTGCGTTCAGCTGGTGCCCACCAAAGCCTGGCATATATTCATCCATTGCACCTTAGTGGACAGGAGTGTCTCAGGTGTCTCAGGTCACCCTCCCCCAATCCAGAAGGGATGTACAGCATTCCACTAAGGTGCAATGGAGGTATACGCCAGGCTTTGGTGGGCACCAGCTGAACGCAATTGTGATCACTAGTTAGACCCTCTGTTGTTTACAATGTGGGAGGTGCTCCAGGCCATGTTCAAGCCCAGCTAAAAATGAGAGTCAATATGTTCTGGGCCTGAGGGCAAAGCTGCACACTTTGGGGAGATTGTCACGAGAAAATTTGTTCCAGGCCCAGGAACGTCAGCAGTGCCTGTACAACAGAGGGGTTAGGCAGTTTTCACTGGGAGATAGTGTGCTTGTGTTACTCACTTGTTCGAGTGTCCCTTCGTGGTCACACTGCGAGTGGGGGACGTAGACTATGAAGTGGTACAGTCGGACAGGGGAGGACCCACACAGGTATATAACCTCAACCTCCTTAAAGCATGGGAAGAGGCTGAAACCGTTTTTTTGGTGAGCATGGTTAATGAAAGACATGAGTTGGTGCTAGAGGTGCAATCGGCAATTCCCACCTCCCTCCATTGTGATGACCATCACACAGGCCTAAAGAGCAGATGCTGCTGCATTGCAACAGCAGTTTTCAGATGTGTTCTCCCCCCCTGCCCAGCCATACCAATCTCATAGAGCACTGTTTTGACACACTGGGTGGTGTGATGCTGGGTTCATGGCCCTACAGGTTAGCTGAGCATAAGATACAAACTGTTCAGAGTGAATTGTCTAGTAGAAGAGTCGCACAGCGCTTGGTGTAGCCCCATAGTTCGTGTGGTAAAGAAGCATGGGTCTATGTGGTTCTGTGTCGACTACCACAAAGTGAACGAGGAGTCACAGTTCGATCCATATCCCACGCCCTGAGTTCATGGCTCAGTTTTTTAGGGCAGCCCTGACTGAGCCCATCACCCACCAGGAACGAATCCGACTTATTGCCAGCTAGGTGGGCCAATCTCTTGCAACGGTTGTATAGGGATCGAATGGCCCATAGCAATGGGCCAGACACCGCATACTCCCAGGGAACTCCCCACAGGACCCCCCAAGGGACACGGTCAAATACCTTCTCCAAGTCCACAAAACACATGTAGACTGGTTGGACAAACATGCACCCTCAAGTATCCTTGAGAGGATAAAGAGCTGATCCAGTGTTCCACGACCAGGACGAAAACCGCATTGTTCCTCCTGTATCTGAGGTCCGACTAACGGACGGACTGTCCTCTCCAGCACCCTGGTGCCAGTGGACACATGCTGACAATTTTCTCAGTTGAAGTCAGCAGCATTCCACCCGCACTATACACAGTGCAGGTAGAGCACCGCTTTCCCCTCCTGAGACGTCTGACGGTTTGCCAGAATCTCTTCGAGGCAGTCCGAAAGTCTTTTTCGATGGCCCCTCCGAACTCCTCCCACACCCGAGTTTTTGCTTAAGCCACTGCCCTAGCCACGTTCCGCTTGGCCTGTCGGTACCTATCAGCTGCCCCCGGAGTCCCACAGGCTAACCAAGCCCGATAGGACTCCTTCTTCAGCTTGGTGGCTCCCTTCACCAGAATATATGGCCAAAGGTCTGGTGATATGATTACAAAATCAGTC